CTGCTATTATCACTATCTAGCCACAAAAAGATAGCTCAGATGAGGGTGTTACAACTAAGGTCCATCCTGTCTGCAAATGCAAAATCAACCCCAAAAGCACTTTCTGAAGACCTGTTCAATGCAATGTAGAAGGGTGTGAGAGCCCAGCCGGTGTAGCTCAGTGGTTCAGTGTCGACGCACGAACTAAGAGGTCCCCAATTCGATTCTCGGTCAGGGCCCATGCCCGGGTTGCGGGTTTGATACCCAGTAAGGGGTGTACAGGAGGCAGCTGATCGATGTCTCTCTCATCTATGTTTATATCTCTCTATCCTCTCCCTTGTTCTCTCTAAAATCAATTTTTTTAAAAACATTAAAAAGAAAGGTGTCATACATATAAGCATAACCAATGGACATAAGACACTGGGGGCTAGGGGAGGCCAGGGAATTGTCAAGGAAGGAGGAAAAAAGGAGACATATGTAATACCCTTTGTAATACTTTAAGCAATAAAAAAAAAAAAAAGGTGTGAGAGTAAAGAGATCAAGCAGTCCCCATCTTAGAACATATCACCTTCCTCCAAACAGGCGCCAAATTTCACCTGCAAGGATCAGAGAACCACATGTCAAAACAGGGTTCGATGGCCAAAAACACCCCTACTTATTCCTCACCTTCTATTTCAAAAGGACACAAGAATTCAGAAGAAAAAAATTACAGGAAATACCTAGAATCCTATCTCGGAAGTAAAATTTTCATTTTATTCTAGTTATATTGGATTCTTTTTCTTTTTTTAATAAAACAGACATAGCTAAAGCCTCCCCATAACTTTTCTTCCCCATCTTTTTCTCCCAAAGCAATGGCTCTTCTAACTACTGTGTAATTCCCACACATTTCTCACCTTGTATTACAATTCATCCTTAGATTAGGTATATACCCATGAACAACAAACAGTACATGTAAGTCTCACTCGGTACTTTCTTTTTTTCAACTTACAGAATCTTTTGGAACTTGCTTTATTCCACTCAATAGGATATTTGGAGATTTATTAAATGGCTAGGTAAATCAAACTGATTTCTTTTCATACAATGGAATTGTGCAAAACATTTAAAAAGGATGACCCAGATCTGCATGTAGCACCGCCCCTTTTATGTATACCTTTGCTAATATGTTTCCAGCAACTTCATAATGTTCTTTAAAACTTTGCTTCACTCCGAGGAGTAGCCAGAGGCAGGTTCACACAGGTGAAGTAAGCTGCTCAGGGTCATGCCATTATTTAGAGTGGCAGAGCCGGACTCGGCCCAGGGCTAGCCAAAGCCCACACACCTACGACACCATTAAACATGACTTGCACTTTCTCCTTAATCTTCACCTTCCTACTCAGTTCTCTGGCTCTAAACTGTCCCACGACTGGTATTCTAGCTACAGACCTTTCACATACTTACACCTGTAGAGGCAGCTGAAGCAAGAATATGCCTGAGGCAAGGCACAATACTGGCCTAGAATTATCTGCAAAATGGGCACCAACAGAGCTACCCTTTGAGGTGAGGTGATGGAAGATCCTATATGAGGGCAGTGGGGACCCCGAGAGGATGAGGCTTCCTCACCTCGGGGTACCCAGCTGCAGGACATGAGTAGGGACTTGGGCTTGGGAGGCGGAAGGTGCTGATTCTCTTCATTTACAAGATGCAATAAGCTGTTTTTCCAGTTGCTACTGGTATCATTGTTTTGACCTCTAATCAGCAACCGCAAAAACTGCAATTAAAAAAAAAAAAAACCTGTAGCTTGAGATAAGTAGTTCTCTTATCTTAATTTGCTCTGACCCCAAGATAATCCCAAGGTCAGCTCTAAACTTCCAAAAGCCAGCTTCAGGCAAGGCCAGAGGGAGACCAGCTCTACAGGCTTGTCTCAGGCCACTGAAGGGATACTTTTTCATTTCAGATCACAGAGGGGAAATAGGCAGTGACAGCGAACTACAACAAACCTTCCCTTTAGCTGAACTTCTAACTGCCATAACATCAGACGTCAATCCTGATTAGCTAGCTGTTGACACTGCGTGATCCTGCTCCTTTCTGTATAAATACTTCAATCACTCATCAACTGCACTTGTATATTGCACTTTACCATGGCGGAGAAACCTCTGGGGCCAAAAAGGCCTTCTGAGGGAGGCCAATCTCTCTGTGGACAGGGGGTCACTTATCCCAAACAGAAATATATTCTCTGTGGACAGTAATTGAAACCTTTTCTCAATCCTTGCTAAATGTGAGTGAAAGCATCCTTGCTACTTTTATAGATCTGTAAAAACACACACCCCTGGACTCATCTGCTTGCTGTGCAAACCCAGCAGAGAGGTGACTGCTCCTCCCATACAGAAACTCTGTAGCTATCACCTCAGTGAATACTTGGCAAAGGTTAGCAGAGAATGATAACAGAGAACACAGCAAAATAACTATTTTTTTTCATTTTGTTTATTTTTTTTTATTTTGAACAGTGGGTTTGACGCTCCCCCTTCCTTTTGGGAGGGAAAGGTTTGAGTAAGGTAAAACATGTTCTCCAGTCCAACCATGGGTTCCAATCTGTGCCCAGCTTCTCAGAACAAAAGTGCCCACCCCACGGGTTCTCAGAGGCCTACTTGGTCTGACTAGTAAAATTAAGAGATTTTACTTTGAGTGGTAAACACACAATGCAATATACAGATGATGTATTATAAGACTGTACACTTGCAACCTGTGTAATTTTATTAACCAATGTCACCCCCAATAAATTTAATGGGGGAGGGGGGGAATTAAAACTCCACTATAAAAATGCCACACAGACCTCCCATCCTACATCTCTCAAACTGAACATGGCTTTTTCTCCAGGGTTACACAGAGGGTTTAAAAGGGAAAATTATATTAGAACTTTATTTTATGATCACAAAGTTAAATAGGGCATGAGAGATTACTGAACTGTACCTCCTTATTCTTAGTACCATGCCAAAAATGACTGAGGACTTATGGGATAAAAGTTTCAAACGATTCTGGGTGAATTTACCAATAATAACAATAATAAAGGGGGCGAGCAGAGGTAGTGGTATTCAACTTATGAATAAAAACAATTAATCCTTCCTTCCATTTACATGAGGTACCTAACTCTAGTGCAACTCAGAGAGACGGAAGTAGAATGACAGTTGCTAGAGGCT